TCCTCACCTGAGGCTATTGGCTATGCTGCATGTAGCCGCAGCTCTAGGCTCCTCCTCCTGTGAAGAGCCCTGCCAGGAACGCCATGCATTACCACACAGCTTCCTCTACACCTTGCTGAAGGACACAGCCTACATTGGCTCCTTGCCTGAGTCTGGAAGAAATCTGATCTGTAGAATCCTTCTTGCATGACCCACTGGTGTCACAGTTAGCATTCACAGCATAGCATAGCATTCAAAGCCTAGAATGCAAAGTCAACCCCTAGGGGAGAGACTGGGTCACAGAGGAGATGGCATTAGTACATGGTCTTGTCATTCTGCATTCTGATTGTCCCATCGCAGCAGCCACCTTGGGGGTGACTGTCAGTACATGGTTCCCATGCATGTAGATGACTCTAAAGAAGTTGTAGCCTATTTTCTTTATATCAAATGATGTGTAAAGGTAAGTACATTCATTTTACTGTCTTAGGGAGGTAGAAGTCATTTAGAAATGAGCCTTCGGTGTTTATAGTCTACTCCAGGGGCATCCTGGAGCATCCCAACTTCTGTATGCCTAAGTCTCCCATGGGCTGGGTCATGTTTTAAACTGTTGGGTGAATCTGTAATCTGGGAAAGATGGGAGCAGGCAGTGACAGGTGTGTCCTTATGTTCCTCTTGTAGCATGGCATGCACATGTCACTGCTTAGTAAAGAATAAGAGCCCAGGCAAGGGCTTCTGTGGAAGAGTCAGCATTGAACCACTTAATGTACAGAGAGCTTTGCCATCTCTGGTCTCCATTCAGTAGTTAACTAACTTGGCAGGGTTCAGAAGACAAGATACACACCCCACCCTGCACTGGGCCCATCTCCATTAGTCTTGCCTGAATTAGGCTTGCCTGTCTTCCCTTCTGTTCCTGGGGGTATACATGTATTGATACGGAAGCTTCATACAGAGAGAATAACTCTGCTCATGTGGCAGAGTCTGGACTGGGTCTTTGGAGCCACCTGTCTTCGCCCTGTGCAGAAATGATCTGAGCTGCCATACACTATGAGTTGTCCTTTCTCAAAGTCAAGGAAGGGGAATGAGTGGAGGCCCTCACACAGACAGCAGCAGCAACTTCACATGGGCCGTCCTGAACTCTGGAAGCCCAGGAGGCAACACGTTCTTGACCTGGAATTACCAACAAGTACTGGTTTCTTGAAGAAATCTTTAGAACAGGCCTTGGGTGGCCCCACCCACAGTGTGTTAAAATGCTTCATACTCCATCCTCCCATGGCAGGTCTCTTTTTCCACCCCAGCCATCTTCCAGTGCCAAGTTAAAAAACAAAAGTAGGGTTTGTGCCACAGGTTTTGCCTCCTTGACATGCTAGCCTAGAGAGATGGGTGGTCCTGTGTCAACCACTGGGATTGAAACAAATGTCCCCAAGGGATACCAAGCACTGTTTGAGTGGTTCTCCGGGGTTTGCATCTTGTTCTGGGCTGGTACTGAGGAAGCTTGCATATAGCATTCAAAAGAGTGGGGGCACAGAGCCCCTAATTATTGGAACCTCAGAGTTCGTCAGTGGGGAGGTCTGGGGGAACTCCTCCATCATAAGAGCAGCCCGTCATGCCATAGCCTTTCTCTGGACGAACAGCCGGGAAGGCTGGTAGAAGAGGGCAGGGCAAGAGAATAAATTTCATTTTATTGTAGAAATGGAAATTTGTGTCATGGCTTTAAAAATCTAGTTTTATGTGTGTGTTTAAAGCCATTCATTTTAAATGTAGCCCCATAAATCCTTGCTTCGGAATCAAAGCTGTTTAATTACATTTCACCCATGGCTAGTTATCTAGTGCAGATGGAGAAAGAGTTAAAAAAGAGAACCCCAGAGTGAATCAGAGGTGAGATCTTTAGCACAAGCATAAAAAATCAATTTAAGATGAATTTTACTACTATAAAAATTCTTCACATACGCTTTTAAGAGTGGGAAATGCTAGGAAACACGGCTCGCCCTCTGCAAGGTGGAGGGAAGGCCAACATGGGCGGTAGAGGTCTCTAAGCAGTCACTGGGAAATACGGAAGCCCCAGACTCATGCTTGAAAATGCTTCCTCACACAGTGAACATGGATGTCCCTTAGGACCCCTGTGTGCAGTGCCCATCAGCACCCACACTAACTTGGCCTTGATGCTTCGGTACTAGCTAGTCTTAATTCCGTTTTATGTGTACCTACCCCACTCCACTCACACTCATGTTCTGGGAAGGTGGTAGTTTAATGTAGAACCTAAAGGCAATCCTTCCCCTCCTTTGTCCTCGGTTGAGGGTCTGTGCACATGAACATGAATTTCATTCACTACCAGTCTGACCAGGTTGCATGAACCCTGAAGACTCACTCTAATGGGACCTGCTCGCCTCCAGCAGACACCACAGCTATTCCCTCCATTCTCCCACCATCACCAGGTACCAGGAGGGCAAAGTACATTATATATTTCTCCATCTCTCCTCTTAGACATCCTTGATACTCCATTCACTTGGTTAGTGAGCGACAGAGTAGCAATAGAATGAATGAGCATGTCTCTCTAAAATTGAGTGATATCTAAGCCAGGCACGAGCAGAAGTTTTTCCTCCCATGATCAGACATTGCTAATAGGGAAAGCAATCAGGGCAATGAGACAGTTCCATCTCCCCAGGAGACTCCCAAGAGAGGCCTGTAGTCTGCATGTGGAGTGAACTGTCATCCCTGGGGCCCACCTGGGGTATACATGGAGCAGTGGCTAAGACTGACAAACCATACCTGTTCTCCATGCACTGCACTGAATGGGGGCCCTGCTTAGCAGCTTCGGAAAGGTCAGTTGTGATAGCCACAGCATTGGCTAGCTCAGGGCTCAACTGTGTGTAGAGAAGGGTTGGGATGTGCAGAGGACAGTCCCCGATGTCACTCCTCGGGTATTGTCCATCTTGTTTAGACAGGATTTCTCTCTGGATTGGAACACACCAATCAGGCTAGGCTGCCTTCCCATTCCCAGCACTGAGAGTGTGAAGAACAGCTTTTCCACTTGGACACTGAGAGTCAAATGTAGATCGCTATACTTGTGTGGCAAGCATTTCACCAGCTGAGCTATCACTCCAGTCCTCCCAGGCCTGACATCTCCCCTCAGCCATCTACCACAGTATCCCCATGGGTTGTGGTTTCTTTCTCCATCCATCCCATTTCCTCCTTCCTGAGGGCTAAACATGTTCATGTGCTTCCCAGGCCTTTTCTGGATGACTGACTTCCTGTCCTCTCTGAAAATAGTACAAAGGCATCCCACCCTGAAAGTTCGTTCCTTTGAAATGTACAAGGGCTTAGTAGAGACACAAAGAGCCCACCAAGAAGCTGTGCTAGGCAGCCAGGTGCCTGCATGGGCCCATTTGCAAGGTTCTGCCAAAAATCTGCTTTGCCCTATGAGAGTCAGATCTGCAATACACAAACAAGGGAGGAACTGCACCATGCACCTCCTCAAACAAAACCTTGCTATATAAAAAGCCCCCCATTGTGCTCATGGGGTACCCTGCCATAGGACCTTCTGACCCTGCTTGCTCTGGGAACCAGGTCATCTTTGTGTGACTTCCCGTCCTACCTCTGAGGTCTAGCTCTGCTGTTTTTTGGCCTTAGTCTTTATCTAAAAGTATGTTCCCATCCCCTCCCCTGTAACTCTGGTGACTCCTGTCTGTGGAGCCCATCTTGCACTCCACTAACTTTACACAGGCAGCCAGGCCTGGGCACCAGGCCTTGGTCACACCTGTGTGGCTTCCCATTTCCAAAGCTGACTGAAGGCCTCCCGCCTCACCAAGATACCCATGTGCGGGCACAGGCCTGTGGACTGCCAGCCCTCACAGGACCTAGGAGCCAAAGGAGATTTGTGAGATTAACAGTCCAAGGGGTCTTCACCTCTACACCGTCTGGGCAGGCCTTATCCACCTCCCCACAAGAGCTCTGACACTAGGCTGCTCCAGACGGCCTGGAGAAGCTGTTTCCTCCAGGCCCAGAAGCATGCTGCTGTCTCGAGCCTGGAAGTGACGAGAAGGAGAAAAGTCACCAGAGAAATCAGATCCAGTGTCTGTGTGTCCTGGGTGTGGGTCCCAGAAAATTGAAACAAAAACTGAGTCTGCCATAAAACTCCAGGCTCAGAGCCCAGAGCACAGAAGTGGCCGTCCCTCACAGCATGTGTTCTGAGCCTGTGGAGCAGTCTAGAAGGCAGATCCCAGCTGAACATGAACAGTGGGCGCCATGCAGGGCCAAATCAAGGAAAAGAAGCCTGGTGCAGGATCTGCAAGAACCCCTCCAAAACAGCTATGAAACTCTTCAGTTTTAAATGCCAGGGCGTCAGCAGAAAGACAGGGACTGCAAAAAAGGAACAGGAGAATTTGTTACTAAGCACCTCCAACTAAACACCCCAGGAAGAAGGGAGTCGTCCCCCCACCCCCACCCTCATCCCCCACCCCACCCCCCCACACGCAGCCATGAAGTACTAAATTCATAAGGTGATATCACTTGTCCCTGGTGCTAGGGAACATGAGTCAGTATACTCTAAGGAGCTTCCAAAAATGTGTAACCCAGAGCCATCTGCAAAGGGATGCCCCCTCTGCTGTGGGCTTCGGGGTGTGAAGTGGGAGGTAGATGGTTCAGTCTGATTACCTGATGTTTAGGGAGAATAGTTTCTTTGGTGATTACCTGATGATGCTGACTTACAAACCCTAAATGGAGGCATGGCAAGTTCCTGTGTGTCAGTTTGCCGGTCCCCCAGGCACTGTGCCTACAGAAGCTTGCAATCTACATTTTGGACCCTCCCTATCCTTAACAAGCCTGGGGATAGAAAGGTAGATATGGGGACTGACCACAGTGCCTTTCTTCCACCCAGCGTCCCTTAGTGGTACATCTGCTAATCTGAAGGTCTCTGTGTGTCTGGCAGAGGCACACACTAGGGAGCGGCTGCAGTCTCCCTCCATTAGTTGCAGCAGGTTTGCTTTTCACACATGTGGTGACTGAGTTTCTTATCCCTTTTGCAGCCCCACAGAGGCCCCAGCTAGTCCTGAGTTGCCAGAGTCCCTGGTACAGTGCACAGCCTGGCTGGAAGCCTATTTCCAGGAACCTGCAGCCACGGAGAGGCTCCCCTTGCCTGCTCTCCATCACCCTGTGTTCCAGCAAGGTTGGTAACCGCGCTGCCTTTGGGGAGCCTGACTTATTAACTATGGCTGACATCACAGCTCGTTACTGACTACACAGGCTTGGAATTTTCACATCGTCTAAACACAGGCGGCAGGCGGCCAAGCCCAAGGCCGAAGGCTAAGAGCTCACGACCCCGCCCACTCCGAGTGGTTGTGTTAGTTTTGGCACATGGTCACATAATTCTTGGCAAAAGCAGTAAAAATGATGCATGCAGATCAACTCTTGACTCTGGCTTGGCTGAAAGGTTTAAATAGGAACACATCTGAATGGCAGTAAATTCTTCAATAAGCTTATTGTTAACTTCAACTCTCTGCCTGCCAACAGCACAGAAAATGAGCCTTGTATCTGGACAGTTAGCCATGTCTCTGAAGTGACTTGGTAACAGTGACTTCAGAGTCTACTCACCACTGCATCTTCCCAGAGAAGTTTGCATTTCTCCAACTTACCATGTGTACCTTCTAAATGATGACTTTAAAGTGCATTGCTTAAGAACAGTTGGCTAAGGGCACTCAAAGTCTCCCAGTAACCTAAGAAAACATCACATTTCTTCTAAAGCTTGTTTGGATCTGTTCAGCCCAGAAATTAATTACTATCGCTAAGATCACTCAGGGCCTATAGCAGAAATTTATTCTGCATACTGGCTTTTACAAGAAATAATTTAATATAAATTAGTATATGTGCACATTCAGATATATGCATGCAAATAGATGTGTCTCCTTAAGGGGGAAAATGGATGTTTTTTTTTTTTTTTTATTTTAAGCTATGGTGAATGTAAAGCAATCTGGAGGTTCAGAATGGTGTTGACTAAGTATAATTTAAAGGTGTTTGAATTGCACCTGCTTCTCAGTTCACAGTTAAAGATGGAGTTGAATTTAAAAAAAAAAAAAAAAAAAAAAAACACCAGAAAGTAAAAAAAACAAACAAGGTCAGAAGCTGTTGGCTGCCTAGGTTCACTAACAAGGTCAGACAAGGGAGGGGATAAAACAAGAATCTGCTTTATGCAAATAAACTGAAAAGACATGAATGGGCACCTTGTTCACCCCTGTGTTATCCAGGACTGTGTTCAGAAGGTTGTGCCCAGCAAGGGCTCCAGAACTTGTTAAAGGGTTTCTGGGAGAGGTGGGTGGATATCTGGAGGACATTGTGTGCCCAGTGACTACACCTTCATCATTTAGCCACTGAGGATGAGAATTTGTCTGTGTACCTGACCATACTTTGTATGTGACATTGAGAGCTGTGACTGTGTGTGACTGTTGAACAGATCCAACTGCCCAGCACAGGGGACATACGTTGCTATGGAGTGCAAGGAAGTGAGGGTGGAGTCAGACACTTCCAACCACTGTGTCCCTTTAGGGTTACTGCTTGATGGGGGGTAAGGGGGTGGCAATGCCAGCAAGCATCCATCTCTGAATCCTACCAAGGGCATCCACTACGGATTGGGGTCTCCAGATAGACAACTGTCTTATAAAGGCAGCACTATCTCCATAGTCCCATGAGGTAGGAGATGAGGAATGAGCCTGTAAAATCCTAACCTTTGCCTGAGATTGGTTTTATGACTTAAAGAAAACTGTAGAGGCCAAAATTGTAAGGAAATGACTCATTTTTGGCAAGGTAGACAGTGGGGTCTGCTGGTCTAGTGCCACCAGGGTCCAGAGAGTAGCTCACCCTTACACAGATCAGTCCAGTGACCCGGAGAAAGTCTGATGTGTGTCATCTCATGGTCAGTGGAGGGTGCCCACCAAGAATGGCACTAGAAGAGCCAGGTACTCTACTCCTCTGCAGCAACAGATCCAGAGGAGCCCCTTCCACCCTCGCTGCTGCTCCTGTAAATGCCTGTCGGCTCCTGAGTCAGGCACTAGACCCCAAAAGTCCCCAAACATGTCTGCAGCACTTCAGGAGCCCCTACAAGGCCCGCACAGAGGCCCATCAGGATAGGGTGGAGCTATTGGTCGCCCTGGCTCTACAATACAGGTAAGCACTTCCAGCTAGACAAGGTCCACTCTGGCAGTACTGGATAGGACTGAGCTTCTTGCACACACTTTTTCCTCCTGGTGTGTTAATTTTAAGGCTGTCTGCTCCTGAGGTCACTTGAAGCTGGCCTGCCTCTGATAGTTAGTGGCTGCTGTGGGGGCCAGGGTTTCCCACGCCCCAGCATGTGCAGGCCAGGTTTTTTCAATTTAGTGTAGACATTTGCTCCTGGGCAAGGACCAGGTGTGCAGATTTTACAGTTTGGAGATGGAGGGAGTAGGATTGGTTAGGATACCCTGGTTTACATGGAATTAATTGGGTCTACGCCACATGTGTTAATGACCCCACCCCTTTTTCCAGTTTGCATCTTGTACTGCCAGGAAAATAACAGAAGGAAACTCCCACAGAGAGCATCTTGGGATATCTCAGTGTCCTCCAGTACCTGGGGACCCAAGACCAATCTGTACTGAGCAGGAAGAGTGGGCCCACTTTGATACGGAATTAATGTTCCCTTTACCCATTCCACTTTCTATACACTTCTACATCTGGATTGGTTTGACATGCTTTAGCGTATTTCTTTTCCGGGGTGGGGGGCAGTATTTGTTGTGGATTGCTTTTGTTTTGTTTGTTTGTTTCCATATTTGTCAAGGTTTAGAACCAGTCTGTCCATCTCTACCTCAGCACAGTGCTTGCTGTCCAAGCCTGACTGAGATCAGATCCCAGGTGCCCGTGTAAAAGACAGGAAGGGGTGCACATCTCTTATCCCAGTGCTCTTGTGATTTCTGGTGGGACAGGAGAATCCCTGGAAGCTGCTGCGCCAGCTAGTCTGGCCTATACAGGGATGAAGGAAGGACAAAGGGGGGCCCGTCTTAAATAAGGTGGAAGCAAGGACAGCTGTACCCAAAGTTGGCTCATCCCCACATGGGTCTCGTGGCATGTGCTCACCTGCACTCGTATGCAAACATGGGCATTTACACACACAAGATTTCCCAAAGGGGGTTGTTATGTTTGAGTTCATTTTTGGGCCCCCACTATGTATCTTTTATCCCATGGAACGGCAGACCTTCAGGGGCAAGACGGCCTCTCCTTTCCAGGGTTTCTCTGTGACAGTGATTCTCCACCTTCCTAATGCTGCAACCCTTTAATACAGTTCTTCATGTTGTGGTGACCCCCCCCACAACCATAAAATTATTTCCATTGCTACTTCACAAATGTAATTTTGTTGTTGTTATGAATTATAATGTAATTATCTATGTTGTCCAGTGGTCTCAGGCAACCCCTGTGAAAGGGTTGTGACCCATAGGTTGGAAACTGCTCTTGGAGTTGAGTCTACAGTTCATGCCTTGTCTTTTTAAGGATATAACCTGTATTCAGTTGAACCCTAAGGAACTGCATTTGGTAAATTTAAACTACAACCTAATTTCTGCCACTTTGCAAAGATTAGTAGCATTTGGTTTATTTGGGCATTTATATATGACTGAGCAGTGGTCTAGAGCCTATAATGCCATGTCTTGGGCTTCAATAAGTAAGGGTACTCCCACGGAGGGCAAGGGTAGGGGTTCCCCAGGAGAATCATGCCCTCTCTGCAGAGATATAATGAGATGGAGGCCAGCATGTCCCTTTACTGTGTAGCCTGGGGTATGAAAGGATCGAAGACAAAGAATGATAGGGACAGGAACAAGCAGGTATGGAAGGCTAGCATGGGTGCAGAGTGAGCTCTGAAGGCAACCAGAAGGGGTACAAAAGGACACAGGTCGTGAACCCTGTCCCATAGTGCACATCCCCATAGGATGGAGAGCCACATCCACACTACTGCCCTTGCCTTCAGAGTTATATAGTGCTGGATCTCAGGTGTGTGGCTCTTCTCCAGAGGCAACCTGTGTTCAGTGTTCTACATGAGAAGATTGACATTGCCTCACTATATTCTGTAGGAGGTTTACATTGGAGATGAGCTCTGAAAAAACAAATTATCTATCAAATCAATATTTTTTAAAGCAAGATGGACTTTTCATTTAAAAGGTTTTTTTTTTTAATAAGTTTATTCCCACTGTTAGAACTAGGTAAATATATGCTACTCCCAAAGAGACTGTTCACATCTTTATATTTTGTTGTTCTAGAACATTATGTGTTTATACATTACAGATAATCTTAGTCATTCAAAAATTTGGGGTTCATGGAGGAATGTGTTAACTATATAGATGATGATATTCTTCTAAAGCATGCATAGTATTGAACTGCATACTATCAATATTTTAAATATAGGATTGGACTATACATTATCAATATATTAAAGATTAGCATACAGTTAAGAGTAATGCCAAAAAAGATTAACAATAGGAGACAGATGTGTAAAAACTATTCCTTAATTTAAATGTTTTCCTGAGTTTTAACTGGACCTCTATGTTCATTCTCTCTTGAAATATGAGATTTATGAGTCTCTTATCTAAAGGCCAGGTTCTTATGGCAGAAGGAAAAGTCAGATCCTTAGGGTGCAAACGCACCCCTCCTTCCCAGTGTAAGTAGCCACTAGAGTGGTTGATGGCTTTGTGAAGCTGGGAAACCCTCCATGACTGTGGACCCTGTGAGCTCCCCAGGTGTGTCCTGCCCTGGGCATGTTTTTATGCCCGATAGTAAATCACTTCTGAAGAAAGTGAAGGGCAAAACAGGGAAAGAGCATTTTTGAATGCTCATAAATACTTTGTGCTGTTAGCTCAGATCACCTGGAAGTTTGCACCCACCAGAGTATTCAGGCAAGCACTGACAACGCCTGGAAAGTCGCAGGTGAGCCCTGCCCCTCAGCCAGTGTGAACATATCCAGTCTGTTACTATAGCAACTACTTTTTCTTTTCTTGACTACTACTGTTAATTAGGGCACAAATGTGTATTGTATGAAGGGAACCCATTCATAAACTTGAATGTGATTCCACATGCACACCTTGTCTGCCTTTAAATAAAAAGTAAATAAACATTCCTTCTTGGGCTGGGCTCCTCTGCCCCTTCACACCCTTCCGA